TTAGAGTTTAGGGGTTCAGGGTTTTGAAGGCTGACTAAAAAATGCCGGGCTATTGACTTGCAAAACACTCATGCCCGAAAGAGCAATGTCGCCAAAGTCCATGTCTTTTACGATAGACTGCGCCCTGCACGTAGCGGTACACCCATACCCTTGTGTCATATAGACCCTACAACCTGGACTCCAAAGCCCTACAAAGTGGTATCAGGGTTCGAGTGACTGGAAGTGGCGTGGGGAGTGGCACTCTCTGTGCGAGAAAGCCTCCTTTCTTGTTTATAAAAAAGTGGCTTTTGTTTTTTTTCTGTGCAGGGAGTATTTGGGGGATGCTTTTTTTGTCGGCAGTCAGACCGTATACTAGCGTTTGAGGGACCTCAAAGCCTTTCTGAAGATTCCGCAGGAGGTGGGAAAGGTGACCCTCCTCAGCACCGACGTGAATCCGAACTGATCCTCGTCTGGGAGTGTCCGTTCTTTAAATTTCCGAGGGTTAAGCTTGGACTTCGTGTTCGGATTCGGGATGCAGGGTTTTCTCGATTGAAGGCTCGGGTGGCCGCGGGCAGCAACACATCGCAGGGTCACCGAGTTCCACCAAACCTGTGGTCTACTTTGGTTAAAAGTTGCAATGACAGTCTTGTACTAGTTCTATCTAAAAGGACCAGCCCATTTTTCCAAGGCCTGGTTTTGGTGTCCTCACCATCGTTTCCATAGAGGCCCCCGAAATATCCCCGAACCTTAAATCCTAAACCCNNAAACCGTAAACCCCAAACCCTAAGTCCGAAACACACTGAACCCAACCCCGAAACCCTCTAGATGCTGAGTCCTGTCCTGAACAGCCCAACGAGCAACCCGCAAACCCTAGACCTAACCCCGCGTCCACACACTTTAACACCGCCGCACACCCTTCATAACCTTAACCCTAAACAAACCCCAACTAAAAACTCTAAACCCTAAACCCCTGAACCATGGCAACTCCAGGGCCCGCAAGCCTGAAACCGCGTTTAGGGCTTAGCATCAAAGGGTTCCCCCTAGTAGTCTTATACTCTAAGCCCCCTGATTCTGGAAACTTGTGGGGTTTATGAGCTTGATGCGTTTGTCGAAAGGTGTGTATAAGGGCCACGAACCCAAAAACTGGGCCAGTCTGAAAATTGTTCTTCAATCTTGCATTGTATTTCGTGAAGAAAACGAGAACTGTTCAGCTCTTACAAGAAGAGCCGAGGAAACTGTATGACTCTAAACCCTGAACGTCGTAAATATCGGCCTATAGCTCTCCTAAACCCGAACTCGCGAACACATCCTTCGAACGAGTTCAAAATAGGTGTATGGACACTCCAACCTCTACAAACCTTATATACCCTGTTTAGGGTTTAGGGTTCGGGGTTTAGGGCCCTATAAACTGCAAACGTTTTAGGCGCTGGGCCGTTCTACGCGAACGCAGAGAGGAACTTCGGCCAAGAGGCCCATTCCCTCACTTGGATCTGCAGAGTCACTGACTAGATATCAGACCTCAAACCATTGAAACCCGCTTCATTGTTATCTTAACTGATGCCGAAGCGCTTGTAGACCGCAGACAAGACCTAACTAAACTTTGAGAAAAACTTAAAGAGTAGCCACCTCAAACACCAAGACCAAACACCTTGGCAGAAGGCACTTCAAACCAAGAGATTGAACCCTAAACCCTAAACCCTTAACCGCCTAAACCCCTAAACCAACAGATTGAACCCTGAACCCTAAACCGCCTAAGCCCCTAAACCAACAGACTGACGAAGCCCAAAAACCTCAGCCCCCTGCGCAGGGTCGCGAGGGTTTGTCGCTGGAGTTCTCGGCCCTCAAGGCTTCGGAGGCCTCCGGTTTAGGGCTTCGGGTTTCGGGTTTAGGATTTAGGGTGTTAGGGTTTAGGGTTTAGGGTTTAGGGTTTTAGGTTTAAAATTTACGGTTTAGGGCTTAAGGTTTAGGGTTTAAGGTTTAGGGCTTGGGTTTCGGATTTAAGGTTTAGGGTTTAGGGTTTTAGGTTTAGAGTTTAGGGTTCAGGGTCTAGGGTTTCGGATTTAAGGTTTAGGGTTTTAGGTTTAGAGTTCAGGGTTAGGGTCTAGGGTTTCGGTTTTAGGGTTTAGGGTTTCAGGTTTAGTGTTTGGGGTTTAGAGTCTAGGGTTTCGGATTTAGGGTTTAGCGTTTTAGGTTTAGAGTTCAGGGTCTAGGGTTTCGGATTTAGGGTTTAGGGTTTTGGATTTAGGGTTTAGGGTTTATGGTGAGACTCCAAAACCCCTTAATCAAGGAAAATGATTCAAGTCATTCTGGGGGCCGTAATTAATATATATATATATACATACATATATAGGGGATATTTCTTAATTAGGGTGTTTTGGAGTCTC